GAGGGAGAGAGGGAGGGAGAGAGGGAGAGAGGGAGAGAGGGAGAGAGGGAGAGAAGGAGAGAGGGAGAGAGGGAGAGAGGGAGAAAGAGAGACAAGGAGCGGTGATTGTTCATCAGGTCAAGGAGGGGTACAGTTTCATATTTGACAAATCGTAGTGCTTTGCAACTCTACATTCAGCAGGCCATAAACCCCTTCACAACCAGAGCTTTTCATTTTGCCCAACTGCTGGCTATTTCACAACCAGTTTCTTCAGGTAATCAATCGTCTCATACTTCCTTCTTTTTTTTTTCATGATCCATCCGCAAGAGGAAGCAGGTTAAAATGACAGGTAATACAGAACGACCAATTCAGCAGGGGTGGGGAAGAAGGCACTTACAGGCTCCGTAGCCGCATAATGGTAGGCCAAAAGATGCCAACACATATCTCATACACCAAAAAACACCCCATGAGGTATCCAAGATCCTGAAAAGGGATGAGCAGTCACAAGAGTCCGAGGGACAACGTCACATATATGACATGCACAGCTACACCTCACCAGCTACATATGAGCCATTAATCAATTGGCCCTAACCTTTCTCCATGCTCCTCATACTGGCATCACTAGTAAGTAGTAGTAACCCATTCCAGCCTTGATAAACCACCTTGTCGATCAACCATGTTAAATTTGAAACCCCTGATTATGATCCCAGCTTAGCTGAGTTTTCTTCGCAATTGTGAGCATCCAAGAGTTGCAATTGTTGCCACATCAGGTTAAATTTGAAAGTTTAACCTCAGGTTAAATTTGAAAGTTCAACCTCAGGTTAAACTTCGAAGTTTAACCTGTTTGTTTCCTTAGAGAGTGTGACCACTTCAAACTGGTTCACACGTCAGATTCAATTTTGAAGTTTGAACTGCTGCAAGCAAGACAAGAAGAAAGCGTTGGGGATTGCGGGATGTGAACCCGCAACCTGCCCAATTATCTGCTGTATTTCAAGTTTTGTTATGATCCTGGCCAATTTCGAAATACACATTCGTCAGAAAGTAGAATGCCGTCCAATCGCAAAAAGAAATGAATGAACTTGAGAGGAGAGAGAGGGAAAGAAGAAGACGAAGAAGACGAAGAAAGAAAGAAGAAGAAGAAGATGATGTACACCAGCATAGACCAGTGATAATGCTCTTCTTCTTCGCCAACCGCTCTCCCCCTCCTTATCTCCCTCCCGTCTTATTCAATCAAGAAATAATAATAATAATGTTGAATGGCTGAACCAGAATCAATGGCCGAATCCCTCTTCTACTGCAGGTATCACATGAGGTCCACCATAGCCATGGCCACCCTTCTTCCTCCTTCCTCCAAGGCCGAGGCTATGGCGGACTACCAGGGCATTGCCCTGCTGTCCAAAGGACAACACAAAGCAGCTATGGCTGCTCTAGCTCAGGCCGCCATCCCTGACTCTGCGTCGAAGCTTCTTCGTGTAGCTCTACCCCAACTGGGGCCTTCCTGCTGCAGCGCCCACCAAGGTGATGAAGATGGCAACCACCATAGCCAGGTAAGTACCTCTGGCGCTCCCCCTTCCTAGTCCTGGTCTTCTTCCTCCTCATGTCCTTGCTCCTTCCCCAGCAGCGCAGCTCTGTGGTAGCGCTGCTCCAGCCAGCGCTGTGTCGCCAAACTTGCACACCGGCACTGAGGAGGAGCACCTTGCTCCTCCTGGATATATAGCGGCCTGCTTGCCTCTTGGGGAGTGACTTTCTAAACCGCGCGGCCTCCAAGCAACCGGTACCTCCTCCCTTTCGGAGGGAAAAATCATTGCAGACTCTGATATTGCCCTTACATGCCCTAGACTCAGTACCCGCCTAGACCTAGGGTACAACTACTGGGCCTCTAAAAATGCCAACTTCTGTCTTCTTCTGCTCGGCCTCGAGTACCCGGCACATCTACCTCTACCTGCTGTGGTACCGGCCTACCTGCTACTTGATTGTTTTCCACTGCTTCAAGTGTCACGGGCCTCTTTCCCCGGCACTTGAATGTTTCCCCCCCTGCAACCCTCAATGTCACGGCCACAGGTAAGTACCGGCCCTTCGGGCCCTCTGAACAAACAAGTGCCCTTGCGGGTCACACACACTCAAGCCGACAAGCACTCAGACAAGCATGCAGACCAGCAAGCATGCACACACACAGACTTAGAGAACTCAGCAACAAACGGGAAACTCAGCAAGGCATTCATTCCATGTGCAAAACTCAGAAATCAGCTGTGTGTCTCAGTCCATGTTTGGCAGGTCATTACAGTTTCTATTATTTGTGTTCTTGGCTGGGTCTGAACCAGAGACCAAACAAAGTATGAACAGTTGTTTTGCTTTCTTTCTTTTTTACTGTTCTGAAGGAGATGAGTTTTGAACCCTGGACCTGTGTGTACAGCTGTCTCTTATACACATCTAGATGTGTATAAGAGACAGTCATTACAGTTTCTATTATTTGTGTTCTTGGCTGGGTCTGAACCAGAGACCAAACAAAGTATGAACAGTTGTTTTGCTTTCTTTCTTTTTTACTGTTCTGAAGGAGATGAGTTTTGAACCCTGGACCTGTGTGTACAGTCCCTAATTGCCTAGCATAGTGGTAGGATATTTTTGGCTGGTAGTTTTTGGCTTTTCTTTTGGTAGGCGGACACTGTAGACCTAAGCAAGTAGCTGCTCCTCAAAAGGGAGGAGTTGGGGCAAAGCCCTCATTTAGAATTCATTCGTCGTAGTTTTGCTGCTTCGTGAGACTAGAAAGGCTCTACTTCCAGCACTGCTCAAGGAGAGAGAGCGTGCAGCCAAAGCCAGTGAGAACTTGCTGTTCACTGGACGGTTTCTCGAGACGATTGTTTCATATTGCTCACGGACGCCGGGCTTTCAATTATCCATCACCTCTTTTCAGTTTTATCAACTATTTTCTATGTGACTATTGAATTCCAATTTTCTGTGGAGTTGCAGTCCAGTGTGTTCTCATCTCAGTCAAGTGTGTAAGTGAGATGATGAGTGCAAGTGCTTGAGATTTCAGAAATTTGTAACAGTGGTATTGGAGCAGGTAACGATCTTGACTTTGGAGTCTGGACACGTATTGGACTTGGATAGCCGCCATGTCAGCAAGATCGCCACATCATCAAGTGGGACATGAGCTCAGTATCCTGCCACCTGTTGAGTAGCTGCTTAGTGTTTTACCTCATTTTGTGCAAATGAATGTGAGTAATACGTTGGTGGGCACGATCGCAACAGCGTACTCTAAAAACCCTGTCTATAGCCAAATAATTGCAGATTTTGAAGAAGACCCCAATCGTGTTCCCGATTATACTATGCAGAGGGGACTGCTCTTCGAGAGAGCAAAGGGGTGTTGCGGTTTCCAGCAGACAGACAGCTGCGGCTCAATGTATTGGGCGAGTAATATGATGCTCAAGATCACTTTGGCTTGAAGAAAACGCACCTGCTACTTCTGGAGCAGTTCTATTGGCCCACAATGAGAAATGATGTTGCAGAGTACGTGAAGAGTTGCACTATATGTCATTGGTCGAAGGGACGAGTGCAAAGACCATATGGTCTTTTGAAGCCACTCCCGATCCCTAACAGACCAAGAAAATCCATATCTTTAGACTTCATGAGAGGCCTTCCAAAGACCACGTGGAAGAATGACGTTGTCTTCGTCATTGTTGAACCACTTCAGGAAGTTCACGAGCTTGATACTTATGAAGAAGTCTGCCACAACAAAGGAGATTGCTCGCCTCTTCGCTGATAATTGGGCCTGGGATTTTTTCATTTCCCTTGGACATTGTCAGTGACAGCAACACTCGATTCACAAGTGAATCATGACTGGATCTGACGGAATCCGTTACATTAAACTCAATATGAGTTCAGCCCACCACCCGAACAGTGATGGTCAGACTGAGCTAATGAACAGGACCGTACAACAAGTCCTGCGACATCTATTACGGCCTGATCAGATTCATTGGGACTTACGCTTGGCCAAGGTAGCAGGTGTTTACAACAGTTTCATGCACTCTGCAACCTTGCAAACACTTGCTGAGCTGCGACATGGATGGAATCCTCGCAGGCCTGTGGACTTTCTGGTCCCTGACCAGCAGCTCAAGCACCCTCCTGGGACAACAAAGTTCAGCATACAGTTTGCTGCAGAACTCCGACAAGCTATCAGGAGTATGCAGAAGGCTCAGCAGGCCAAAGGGGAATGCCTCCATATTTGCTATGGCACGCGGCTTTTGTCAGCCTGACACTCCTGCAGATGATACAAAGGTTGATACACCAGCAGAGCAGACAATATATACTGTCTGAGAGAACTGTTCAAGGTACCAAGGCCAAAATCAGCACACCAAAGTCTTGGGGGTATATATTTTGGCCAACCAGAAGTTCTACGGCAAAAAGTGGCAGGTAGGCCAGGGGCCTAGGCTCAAATCGTGGCATCCAAGGCTACCAGAGGTCAAGCCCAGGCCTTCGGAATGTGAGCAATCAGGCCCTACAGGTCCAGCAGTCCAAGCCCCAAAAAGTCGCCAGAAATGGGCCTATCAACCATGACACAATGAACCAGTGGTGGACATAACAGAGCTTTTGACACAACAAACACGGACGCGGATGCAACACGTGTGAATATACTTCTTGACCTCTCCTCTATCACATCTCCGCCCACATAATTGTTTTTTCTGCACCGTTGTCATGATTCTGGTTGTTTGTTGTCTGATGAGCAACACTCACTCACATAAACTTCTAGGTATGCCCATACATACACAGAAGGAAGGGGAGAGGATAGGAGTATCACACCGCACAGGGAGAGATAACACAGCGGAAGACTTGACCATGCGATATGACAGGGTACACTGAAAGTGCAACTCACTCCACTCAATCCTCACAACCGGTCATAAAGAAAAGCCGAGCAGATCACATCCAGGAAACAATGAAACGACGATAGTCCAAACCCAATTACACACTGTTTATTAAACTCAAAGTCTCGAATTGTCAGCATAACTTCAGTACTACAGTGCGCTGCTCAGAGATGAGCAGCACTTCACTCCCCAAACCTGAATAGCACCCGTAACACCCCTGAGTCCCTGAAACATCAAGCGCCACCCAAATACAGCCTCCACATGGAAGCGCCACCCTGAAACAGGCCTCTGAGGCCAAGCGCCACTCAGAGGATGAAGAAGAAGACCAGCGCCACTCAGAGGATGAAGAAGAAGACCAGCGCCACAGTATCTGATGATGACGAAGTGTCGGAAGACTTCCCGGGTGGAAGTCTGCAGCAACGCCACAAAAACCTGACAAGATGACCTCTGAGGGAGAAGCTGCAGCTATGGCTGCAGCATCACCACCCTGGAACCCCACTCCGGAGGAGGGTCCAGCAGGGCACCAACCTCTCTCGCCTCCAGCAGACCTCAATAACCCAGACCTCTCTCAGCCCCTGCGTGCTGACAGAGTACAGCGCACGTCCCAGCTATGGCCGGCGCTCC